GAAAAAAAACAGATCACATGATCACACCCATACTTTTCTTTTGCTTCACGTCATCTTCATCGTCTGGTTCATCTTCATCTCCATCATCTTCTCCCGTGAGAATCACCATCATCTCTTTTGAATTTGAGACCACAAAACAAATTTCTAGTGCGGAAGCCTTTAGTTTTGATCCACTAGGATCGACTGCTCTGATACCATGAAAAAACTATAGAAGGATTTGGGGAAAACTCTTTATTATTGTGTTGTTTAATCTCTAAAGAATTGATACAATATAGAGAGGCTAACTTATGTTTAACCTAATTAGAATAGGAAACAGATAAACATGAATAAGTAAATATTCTAAATTTCTTACTCCTTATCATACTTCTAGAATATTCTTCGACTTGGCCTTCACGGGTTCACTTCAATAGCGGACTTTGACGGTCCATAATAGTTAGTCTGCAAGATACACATCTTGCTCCCCAAGATATCTCCAATAGGAAAATACAAGTTATTGGTAATATTTTAAAGTTGATTTCTTTAAAAGGTTGCAGTATCTTTGATGTAAACGTAGATGTTGTTTGTTTCTTTGTGAGTTGACTTCTTAGTACATGTTTAAGAAGTAAGGCTTGAATACGTTTCTTAATTTGCCACACTAAATAAGATAATGCTAAGCATAAACTAGTCAAGTGTAAACACATTACAGTAAAGTTTAAGAGTTTGTTTTTCAGGTTATTAATTTCTACTCGTAGTTCTGCTTCCATTTTTTCCATTTTATATGATTGCTTTCAGTTTATATCAAAACTGTTGATTAATAAAATGTCTTGTATGTTTAATTTGATTTACTATATACTAACTTAAATTTGGTTTCAAATATGTATGTGTTTATTAACAAGATGCGGATGGAAATATAGAAGGTAAACTCATAGCAGCTAAAGATGTCTGGAAGTTGGAAGACAACCAAGTTATTGTGCATTTCGGTGAAGATACCAGTCAACCAATTGGAGATTCTGGAGGTTTACTTGGATCATGGTTAGGTCAATTAAGTACCGATGTGCGATTGCTACCCGTTGACTACTCTGATTGGAGGTTGGTTAATCCTCTTATAAAAGAAAAGGCATGGGAACTGATCCAGGTAAACATCTAACATTTGTTTATCTATTTTTTTTTGAAATCATGTGATGCTTTAATACTAAATGTTGGTTGATGACTCGTTTCATGTTACATGTCAGTCCAAATTCAGTTTTGATGATCCTATGATGAGAAAACAATATGTAATGAGTGCACTGGGTAACCGATGCAAGGATGTCAAATTACGTATTTGGAGAGACTACAAAAAAAATGATTTGAATGAGACGTTGCAGAATCGACCCGAAAACATTCCTGAAAATCAATGGTATCATTTCGTTCACAAGAGGTTTACTGAAAAGTGGAAGGTATAGTTTTTCAATATATATTTATATGAACTTGTATTATCTCTATATCAACTGCAAGTGATTTTTTTAACATATGAGCTTTCAGAAAATGCAAGAGCGTAATACAAAGAACCAAAGAAAAAATACCATGCCTCACTTGTGCGGAAGAAAGAGTTTTTCAAGAAAAAGAAATGAGATTGTGAGTAACTTAGTCATGATATAAACCTAGTCTATTATATTGATTTTGTACATTGTTTATTCATGTATCTTTATTGTAGAAAGTCAAGAATGGAAAAACGCCATGTCGAGCAGAGTTTTTCATTGAGACTCGCAAGAAACCTGATGGAAGCTTTGTGTGTGAGGAGGCGAAAACACGCGCGGTTAGTTTAATTATAGTAACTTTCAATTTTGATCACTGTTTTTTGGAAGTGAACTTTAGAGGACAAAAGGACATGAGGTGCGTTGTCGTTTTTGGATTTATTAGTTAACTATGTTGAATATTTATCATTGTTTCCCTTTTTTAGGAAGCACTTACAACATTAATGGAGCAAAATCCTCAAGTCACGAGCAATGTTCCAGCTAGAAATGATGATGAATATGCTCAAGTGTTTGGACCTGAGCGTCCAGGACGAGTACGTTGTGTTGGTCGTGGACCCACACCATCAAAACTGGTGAAACGCTCGACCGCAACAAGACAAGAGATAGAAAATTCTGAAACAGTCATCCAGCTGAGGGCACAGTTGAAAACATTAGCTGAGCAAGTTAATGGAATGTCTACATTCGTTCGACAAATACTTGGTCCTTCGAATGGTGAACAGGTAATAATATATAACAATAATTTGTAAATTTCTTTGCATTAGTATAAATTTGATATATATATATATATATACATATATATATAATTAACTAATGTTTAACGTTAAATATTCAGGTAAGTGTATGGGCTGCAAATTTTGCAGCAGCTTTTGCAAACATACCAAATCCAGCATTTGTTAACATTCCAAATCTACAGAATTCTAGGGTAAAAATTACTTACATATTAGTTTCTCAGATAAAGATATTAAGAGAATAAACTAATGTGTTGAATGATTTTTTCCAGGAAATTGATGATGATGCCAATGATAAACGCTAGATGCAAAAGAGTTCAACCTAATGTTAGTCATCATCATTCATGATCAAGATCTGTTTCTCATAATATTTTAGCAACTTTGAATTGTTTATGTTTTATGTATTTTCTCGGTTGGATTATTTTGTTAATTCATTTTCAAACCTTTTTATTTTTAATTTAAATTTGGATTTTCGTTTTTATTTAATTATTTTTAATATATTTAAAATACTAATAATAATAAAATGTGCTAAATGATGTATATATTAGATATTGAACGTGACTATTTTTTGCTTCACTATACAAATGATGTGAATATATTTGAAACATGCTTTTTTATTTATTCATTAAATATTATTCTCATCATTTGATAAAATTGATACAAAAAAAAATAATTATTTAAACAACCGCACATAAATAATAACATCAATTATGTAAAAGTGATATACTATTTTATATCAATTATTATAAATGATACACTTATTAAATCATTTTGTATAAATGATACAAATATTAAAATCAATTATGAAAAGTGATACTAATTTTAGTATCAATTATTCTTAAGTGATGCAAATATTAACATCAATTATTATAACCGTTACAAATACTAGCTTCATTTTTTTTAATTGATACAAAATAACATCACTTAAAACAATGGATGCAAATATTATGAATATTTGCATCGGTTTTTGCAGAACCGATGTGAATTATTTGCATCAACAAGATTTACATCATTTAAGTAAATGATGAAATTTTTTTTTGCATCAGTTATAAGTAATGCAAAAATTAAAAATAAATGATTCTAAATGATCATTTTTTTGTAGTGTCAGTCCAACCATTATTGGTTTGACCCAAAAATTTGGTTCATTGATCATTGCCCCGAAACTATCGAGATTTATGGCTAAAAAGAACCATCATCTCGAGAGGGCGTATTAAAGATACAATATGCCACATCGAAAGTTAGACAAGGATCCTGACAGTATATAAGATGCACATTGTTTTAATTTTAAACTGGTAACCACATCTAAATTGCACATTGTTTTAATTTTATATAAACAAAATTGTGATGATTCGACAACGTAAAGTTTCTACATTGTGGAAACCCCTACACCCACAAATGAGGTGTGATGCATGAATTTGTGAATGAAACGACAAGAATATTTTCTTCGTGACCGGGAAATTACTGGTCCATTTAAAGGAACATATTCTCATGATGAAGAATTCAAAGTTGACTATATTTAGCCCATGCAAAAAGAAATAATATAAATTTAGAATTCAAGATGCATATATGCCTTCTTAAGGGCTATAAAAAGAGATGCATGTGAGGAATATGGTAAGCCAAATAGAGAGTTACCAAGTGTATAATGGAGAAGCAAGAGGTCTAACATAGCGAAAAGAGTCATGTTTAGTAGCCAAGGATGACTTGCCTGATCTTTTTCACCTCCAAGATTTAACTCTATGTTCATGGATTTTGAATTATTATGCATTTAAAAGGTATAATAATTTGAAACCATGTTGAATCTTGCGGGTTAGGTTTCAGGCGGTCTCCTTGGCTATCTTGACATGGTTTTTTCATCTATGTTATACCTTACTTCTTTCTGTCTTCTGAATCACCACAATTTCACCCCAAAAGAAAAGAAAATATCAACCTTTGTCAGGATGTTATTTGTTAAGGTGCTATGTTTCGAAAATCTCAAATTGTTTTGAGCTAGGTTTCTAAAGCATGATTCATTTCATATATAGTATATATGGTGAGTGCACACATTGTTTAGAAGGAGATGTCAAAGATGAATAGAAGAATCATATTTGGTAGCCAAGGATGACTTGCCTGTTTCTTTGAGTAAAATGGTTAGTGTGGTCATGTTTGACAAGTAAACTATAAGTTCTATCAAGTAATGACCATTTTGCTTATAAAAAAGATATCAGGCAGTCTCCTTGGCTATCCTTATATGTTCTTCTTTTCCATCTCAGACATTTAACTTCATCCAAAATAAGAGAGACATGACAAAATACACAAAGGTTATGTAAATATTTGTGTATGTAACTTTTGAATGAGGCCACCAACTTTTGAATGAGTCTCGGCGTCTCGCCATCAAACTTTATGTAAATATTTTTTTACCGGAGTTAACTAAATTCAGTTTATTTTTTACCCTACTAGGCTATCGAAGGTTATGATGCAACACATCTTGAGATATAGTCACGTTTCACTATGGGGCATTGCTCTTAATTATTTTATTTCAGTTAGCCGGTTTGAAGTGTTTTATATTTGCTCTTGTATTCTTCTTAAAGTTAGGGTTTTATATAGAGTTCTTCCTTGAAGTATTTAAGTGGCTTTGTGTTGTAGTCTCGTAGAGCTCATTACCTTTTGGTTATTAGTGAATAAAAACCATAAATTTCAAGTGATCACTGGATCAGACCGTGTGCCCCTAAATAATTAAAAAACAAAAAAAAAAAGCTAAAGACGATATGATGATATGATTATGACATTTGAACAGCCTCAAATCTTATAACAATCTTTATATTAAAAATATATAGATGATAGAAAAAAAGAATTGAGCATACTTTAAAAAAAATGATGGGCGTGGGGATTGATTCGGCATTGTCCCCAAAAAATATTCCGAAAGTATTATTCTAATTCTTTAATTTAACGGACCTTTCAATATCCAAAAGGGGTAATAAAAAGATGCAACCTATCTTCAAAAATTTCTTATTTTAGAAATTTAGTGAGAGTTATTATTATTTTCTTTTTACAACTTGCCATACCATAAGGCTGAAGCATCATTTGAAAGGAACACGTACATTTCTACGCATTGCATTTATAGTTTTACATATACACACATTTGATTTATGGGAATACTAACAAAATGTGCACTTTTCGATTCCTTTCTTTCGAAGAAGGACCTCAATACAGTAGTCACGTACAGCTCAGCAAAAATCTCATGTTCATGACATTTTTGTCCTTCTTGTCACCTACACACAAACATCAAGCCATGGTGTATCACGAGTCTGTAAAGAGATAAAACTATACTCTAATAGCAACTTAATCAACCCAAACCAATTTTAAACAGTTTGCCATCTATTACAGTCTGTTTCAAGTTTTGTATTGTGTTTGTTCAACTTCGTTAGATAGTGTTGCTGATTTGATTTGTTTTCTCTTTGGTTCAATCGATTATCAACGACCGTGAAAACAGAAGGCCAAGGAGATTCGTATTCGTGACTTTCAAAGATGAGAAATCAATGAAAAATGCGATTGAAGGAATGAACGGACAAGAGCTCGATGGACATAACATCACCGTCAACGAGGCTCAATCACGAGGAAGCGGTGGCGGAGGCAGCCGTAGAGGTGGTGGCGTGGATACCGCAGCGGAGGCGGTAGTGGTTACAACGGAGGAGGCGGTGGATACGGCGGTGGCGGTGGAAAACGCGAGAGAGGATACAGCGGTGGTGGTGGCGGAGGTGGTTACTCGAGAGGAGGTGGCGGCGGAGGATACAACAGTGGTAGAAGACGTGAAGGAAGAGGAAGAGGATACGGTCGTGGTGAATGAGGAGGATACGGAGGTGGAAAAGGTGGATGGTAATTCCCTTAATTAGTTTGGGGATTATTACACAATTTTCTTTAATTTTTTCTTTCCTTAATCGCCGAGGATTGTGATCAACTAACATCATCTGAGAAGAGGGTAGAACAGACTTTTTACACTGGTTGAGTACCTATTTTAGAAAGAACTGTTGAAAATACCTAAAACGAAAGGATATGTTAAGAAAAGTGCCTTATTTATAATTAACTCTTGATTTATCTATTACTTCCTCTTTTTCACTAAAAATGTCATTTTGACATATTTTACACAAATTAAGAAAATATTAAAATATACATATATGTTCCTATTTAATAAATGGTTTATAAATTTAGTTAGTTTTAGATTAAGGATAAAATTAGGAAATCTAGTGTAAAAATGCATTGAAAATATAGAATAACAATCTTTGTAAAACAAAAATAAAACTCTAAAATGACACTCTTTGGAAAAAAAAAAAAAAGAGTGTTAGAATTTTGACGTAATAGTTTAAAAATGTATGCAGAGTAGTGAGAGTAATAAGCGATATGAAATAAATTGAGAACAATTTATCAAACACAATGATTTTCTTTTATCTTTAGAAAATAGATATTGCTTTTTTTTTTATACATGTTGATTTTTTTTTTAGATCTTTAGTAAATATATATTTTAAGCTCTTAAATCATACTCTTTTAGTCTTTTTATATAGTTTTGCTAAATTAGGAATTTCATACATTTGGACCAGCCTTTAATATGATTTAATTATAAATATGAACAAAATCTATATGATTCGACAATGAAAAGTTTCGACAATATTGTGGAAACTTAAACCACGAATGAAATGCGATATATAATTTGTGAACGAACCGAAAAGAACATTATCTTAGTGATCCAAAAACTGGTCCATTTAAAAGAGCATATTCTTGTGGTAAGGAATTCAAAGTTGACTATATTTAGCCCATACAAAAAGAAAGAGATAATTTTAGAAATTTTTTAATACGCATATATTCTTTCTCGAATGTTATAAAAAGAGATTACATGCATGTGAGGAATGAGACATGTAGAGAGTTATGAAATGAATTACGAAGAAGAGATGTCTAACATGGCGAAAAAAAGTCAAGGATGACTTGCCTGATCTTTTTCACTTCTATGATTCAATTTGAAGTTCTTGCGTTTTGGGTTATTATGCATTTAAAAGGTATAATAATTTGAAAATCATGAATGTTGAATCTTCCGGTTAGGTTTCAGGCAGTCTCTTTGGCTATCTTGACATGCTTTTCCATTCATGTTATACCTATTTTTCTTTATGTCTCTATAGTCACTAATCACTATAAACTCTACAGAACAAAACTCAATCATTGTTATAGGGTATATCTCATGCATTAACAATGTCGAAATTTTTGCTCTAATGTTTTTTTAATAGTATTATGGTGAGTGTACAACTATATATACGCTGATAGTTAGTTAGAAGATGCATGAAATCAGAGGAGCCTTGAACAAAACCTTTTCATTTTCTATCTACACCCACATGGATATACAAAGCCTTGGGTAAAAAAGCTTTGAACTCATATTTTATTCTTCCTAATTAAAATCCCACTATTTTGTACAAGATATACTCAAAGCTCTTGTTGTTCTTGAACAATAGTCTTTTTAAATATTTTATTGTATAAGGTAGTAATGTGAAAAAACTAATAATACTTAACCGTCGTATTACAATAATTATATTTCCCTTTTTGTGATTTTAAATAGTAATTTGTATAAACTTTTGAAGATTACCTTGTATAATATTTTATTTGGTGTTTATATCAGTCTCCCCTTATTTTTTTAGTTGCCTTTGTACGTACCATGACAATTATACTAGGAACTAACACAATTTTTAGAAGCAAAAAAATTGTAATTACAAAAAGTTATACAAAACATTGTGGTTGTTCTTAAAGGATGCGACCTCGTGGTTGGATGTGCCGCCATAGTTTCTGTTGGCTGGTTTTTGACGATCGTACTCGGACGTGTCGACGAAAAACTCCGAACTATCTTCGATCCGTGTGAAATGGAATTCGCTCATCTACTTGCCATACCACTTTCAGTTTCAAAATTTGGAGTGATTATTGGTTATATAACATACTTTTATCTCGGGCTTCTGGGCGTCGGCCAAAACCTTTTAAATTATTCAAAAAAAGAATGTGATTTTTTCAGCCGTTGGAATTGTTTTTTGTCCAAACATGTAACCAATGGAACCTAAATGGAACATTCTAATGGACGCCGTGCTAATCAATTATCAATCACCTGTTGTGTTTTTTTAACCGAGCTTTGTTCATTAGGTCCATTAAACAAAGTTCGGCAGACCAAAAAAAAAATATGTAAAGTTTGTATTTTTTCAACGCAAGTTTCTTTTACGGCTGAAATTTTGTGAAAGTTACACATAAAAAAAATACTCAATGTGTAACTCAGTTATTGAGGAATCAAACGTTATGATAGATGCATGAGTATGACCCTACGTCTATCATATTGATGATATTTACAATATCTTATGATTTTATGATTGTGATTTTTGATGCAGAGATTGGTAGGGTTAGATTTGGACCTCGCTAAGTCTCAGTGATCTCAATTATTCCGGCGTTAACATTATGTCACTCCTAACAACTTTTTTTAGAATGAGAAAAAAAAATGGAAAACAACAAAGAAAATATTTAGAAAACAATATAGTATCAAGGGAATCATGAAACTTAATAATCTCAAAACTATGATTATTTACTTGATTCTATTTGTATTATTTACAAGTTTTTTCTATTTCTTCATTTTGTAAATATTCCTAGCAACGTAAAATAACCTAACCTTGTACTAAAAAGGAACAAAACAAGTCGTAGCACTTGTAGTAACCAATTTAAATTCACCGGAGGAAAGTCAAAAAACAAAAACAGAATGGCTTTCACAGAAGAATCAGTTCTTTGTCTTAATTTAAAGAAAACAAAAAACAAAACAGTACACCTAATTCGGAGAAGGACAACACATTTTAACGGAAGACGACCAATAAGAACCTCATAAAGACCTGAAGCATTGCCTTCTCATGTGTTTGGTCGGAGAAGGAACCCTAGAGAATCCACACAAATGGCGGCGCATCCATTCTTGTCCCGACCACAGTCCGGTATAGATACAGCTTATCCACTTTCTGTCTACCCTCGTGTCCGTTTTGCTCCATCCTATTGTTATCGCTCTCGTTTATGATCTCTACATTGAGCCACGGCGCTTTCTCTGCTAACCTTTTGCATCCGCTGAGTGTGACTTCACATGACGACATCCAAAGGGATCGCATTGTTTCATACTTACTCACATCAGCAAGAAGCGCCGTGTCCCCAAACGGACTATCCCTAATCTCTAGCTTCTTCATCTTTTTGCAACCGTTCAACACGTAAAGCATGCCTTTGTCTGTATCCCCTGCGAAGGCTATGGAAAGCATCTCTAGCTGGTTTGCGTACATACCAATGTAGAGGAAGACTTGGTCTGTTAGTAGACCTGAGAGTGAAAGACGTCTCAGGCTCTTGCAGGCTTTGACGATTGCTCCAAAGCCTTCGTCTAGTGGTTGAGATGTCACGTGATCGGGCTTGTTTGGCTCGAGGATGCAGAGCCTGAACCGGATGAAGTTTGGACAGTTCTTGGCAACGGTTACGAGAGCTGCGTTTGTCATCTGCTGACAGAAGTAGAGTATCGAATGAAGCTTAGGGCAGCCTGCGGAGATGGCAACTAGACCTTCTTCAGTCACAGCTGTGTTGCCTCCACCGAGTAAATCAGATGGAAAAACCCTAAGTTCTTGTAACTCTTTGCATGTGGAAGCTACAACTTCAAGCCCTTTGTCACCTATACTATCCAATATCTGCAAGTAAACACCAAACTCATTACATACAAAATCTATCTGCTGGATTCATATTTTTTCTTAAAAGGTTATAACATAAGCTTACCCATAACCGTTGAAGTTTCTTGCAATGCTGAATAAGCTTAATGAGGTGGCTGCCATGAATCTCAGCTGCATAACTAAGATTCAATGAGGTGAGGTTATGACATATTGGGTGGAAAGCTGAGAGACAGTGAGGAGCAGCCTCTAGAAAACCAGACAAACTCCTCAACGAGGTGCATTTCTTTATGGCAGCCTTGAGTTTCAAGTAAGACTCTGAATCCGGGTCATTCTCATACGACCCTACTCCTAAGTCGACTATCTGCGGCGCACACGCCATTAACCTTGCGAGCGCATCTAGCGGCACTGCACGGTTTAGCTTCAGACTCTTTAGGTTTGGAGACCTTGCAACAAGCCTCTCTAAAGCCACCAGATTGGTTTCTCCTTCCAGACAAGCAAAGTTTAGCGTGACGAGGGTTGTGCAAGTGTCTGGGAAACAACTTAACCATTGACCTCTATGATCCTCGATTTCATTCTCTTGCAAGTCCAGATCCCGAAGATGCCTACAAAGAAGACAGAATTTGTAAAAACAGAGTTACAGAACTAAAACAAACATCTATAAACATTTGTAACTTACAACCAAGAGCAACCATTGCAATAAGCCAATAACTAAACTAATGATTCCATAGTTTTTGGATACTAATGAAACAAAGCATCTACTGATATCAAAGCTAATCTTACTACAGCAAAGGTACAATCTTTAACATGAAAAAAGCTTATACCTGCAATTAGCAGCAATGGAGGCAAGACCATCAGTAGTAAAACCTTCACAGCTAACAAGTACCAAAGACTTAAAATTCACAAAAGAACGAGAAAGCAGCTCAAGACTCTCATCAGTAACAACCATCCTCTTCAACCTAAGCTCCTCAAGGCCAACACGGCTCCTAGCTAAAGCCTCAATCCAAGGCTGCACAAAGCCTCCCCATTCATGAGGAACCAAATTGAAATCCGCAAAATGAGGTTTCCCTTTCAAAGTCAGAGACTTTAGACATGGGAATCTCCGAAGCAACCTCTCTGGATTAGTGGCATAACAGTTCCCAATAAACACTCTTTGCCTACTGTATCTCTCAATCTTGTACCATGATTTGCAGACAAGAGATATCGCATTCCTGTCTTTGTGAGATGTTACGAAGTCGAAGACGTGCTCAATAACTTCATCTGGGAAATAATTCATCTCTCCAGTAACTTGAACAACAACAAGATCCAATTTCACCAGATCTTGAACTAGAGAGTCAGTCAATTCACTTGACTTTGACTCAAGACCATAAGAGCTCAAGAACACACACCAGATCTACAGGTTTGGATCTAGGTTGAAAACAAAAACAAGATCTATCAAGAAACAGATTCAAGAAAGAACACAAAACCAAATTTGAGAAGAAGAAAAAAGAATGAACAAATTCTCAAAAGAGATTCTCAAGTAAAATAAAAACTTGTGATGATTACGTTTGACAATGATCGAGAGAGAATCAAATAATATTAGATCTGTAGAATCTGAAAAATCATAAGTAGAAACTTTGCTTTGTTTTCTTGAAACAAAAGAAAGCTTACAAGAAAGAAAAGAAAAGAAAAAAATAATAATTCAAGAAGCTAATGATGATGAGATGATGATTCAGAAGATTTTGATGAGAGAGATCACGTAACCAAAGCAAAAGCTCTGAAGTAGAAGAAGAAGAAGAACAACAACAACAACAAAACTCTCTCTCTCTCTCTCTTCTGTCTCGATGACTTTGGTGGTGGTGGTAATGGAAAAAACAAGAAAAGATAAAAAGAAAAGAAAAATAAAAAAAGTCTTAAAAACCAAAGAAGAGAAGCACATCACAAGGGCCCCTACCTGGCTGACCGAAACAAACCATGGTTAACAAAGATTATAAACCATGGTTAGGTTAAGAGATATGGATCCAACGGTGGAGAGTAGATTGAAGCAGAGACGAAGATGAAGAATCTTGACCGTTGATGGGAAATGGCATGCATGTGTCCTTATCACTGGTTACGAGGCCATTCTCGCCCAAAGAGAAAAAAAAAAAGAAAAGAGAGAAGGTGATGTAGTAGTGTCAGACTTAATTGAATATTTGTAATTACCCTTGTGGTTTGGTTTTATTTACGAAAGTATGCCATTGTTGCCGTGTGGCGAGTAAACTTACATTTATGTAGTCGCAGGATATTTTGTGTACTTATGTAGTAGTTAAGCTAATAATTATCAATTATTTCAGCTAATTTTGTGTGATTAGAGATTGATTAGTGATTATTTAAAGTTTATATAACTTAATTAACCTATTCATCTTTTAATTAACCTATTTATTTTATTTTATTTTATTTTTCAGCATCACACACAATGGAGAATCAAGTTTACAAAGAAAAGTATGTTACTTTTAGTTCACTTAAATATTCAAAATATATAAAAGTAAAATATAATGTAAGATTAGGAAGTTTAGCCTTGATTAGTTGCTGTCTTAGAGTCATTTCTCAGTCATATTTTGGTTTACAACTATAAATCCACTGCAATTATATTTTACCAAATTTTGTATTTTGTTTTTAATTCACATCCAAAATATTTTCTTAATTAATTTCTCAGACATATTTTTCGTAAAACACAAATCTATAAATTTTGGAAAATTTTAATTTCTACTGCTAAAATAATGTATCAATAAAATGTATAACTACTACAGCTTAAAATCTACGGTCAAAATTCTAAAGTTATAGATGTAACCAATCAGAACCAAATTATTTCAAGAAAAAATAGTTTTGATATAAATTTATCTATATAATCTAACTGAGATAGGATCTTATATTTTTTAGAAACCATCTATTAAATTTGATATAAAACCATTTATATTAACTAAATGAGATAGAATTTTAACTCTTGCATAAACCATCTAATTTGATGCTTTTTTTTATGAGTGCAATACTTTGTTTTTAAGCTTTAAAATTCATAAACGAATTAGTTAAATCACACGAAATAACAATTCGAATTTTATTAATCATAACACAAATTTATAGCTTTGAGTTTAAAAAAAAAAAAAAAAAATTTATTGTTTGGGTAATAAAGGAGGAGAAGAAAAAAAAAGCAAGGCTGGCTGAATTTGTCTGGTAATGAGGACATACACCATCCGTGGAGATACGTAGTCAGTAGGTTGATGACATTAGCAAATTTAGTTATAAAATTCTTTTTTTCTCCCTTACCAAATAAATCCAAACGTTTAGGTTTTTTATATAAAATGGTGGCAACAATTGATGCTAAGGTAAATTATACTGTGAAAAAAACAGTGCACACATGGTTGAAACTTGAAACGGTCGGCTGAAAAATATTAAATGATACATGAACAAAATGTGAAGGAATTATAAAATTATGAATCAATTACAGATTTGCTATTTTTTGGGATGATATTTGTCAATTCATTATTTGTCTATAATTTTATAAATTTACCATTTTTAGGTTATAAAATTGCGATAAACACACGCGTTTAACTTTATATTTGAGTTTAGTCGGTTTCATTTGTTTTTAGGGTATCATATATCATTTTTTCAGCTTTTTATTACCCGCAGGAGTCCCACTGCTGTTAGCACCTTTTTTAGTACTCCTTGAGCTATACGACCATTTTTGGATGGAGAAAATTCCCAAAATATATCCCACCTAATTTTTATTTAGACGTTTAATTTTGTTGGAAAAATAATACCTAAATAAATAAAGTTTTAGCAAAAATAGCATATTTATAAGATTTGTCTTGGAAAATGGCATTTTTCATAAGAATCCATACAATTATACTTATTTTTTTTGTGCCATTTACTACTAAAAAGTAGAGATGAAAGAATTGTTCAAACATAACTTTATATATACAAATTATTCATTATTTCACACCAATGCTGTCAAAAACACATCTCAATGGTGACAAAAGAAGATGTAATAACACACTAAACACATCAACCATCCTTGGCCAATAAAACTTTAAAGTGAAAATAATGTATATTGAAAAAAAAAAAGATGGGTGTAACCTTCATAATCAAACTCAATTATAGACCCACTTGCATATAATTACAAAAGGGAGCACACAAAACAAAAGTATTATTATTGGTTGAAAGAGAATAGTCACTTCCTTGCCTCTTACCACCAAACTTTTGGTTAGTTGTTCTATTTTTTTGAGAATGTAACTGATAAAAGACTTACTAAATTAATTAAAATATTAGATTGTTATAGTAATTGGAATGCAATATATATGGATGACATGGAATTAAAAAAATATAATCCGGAAATTCATACTCAAACTAATCCCAAAACCTATAAAATCCATCTTTTTATTACAAATATGTTTATAAACGGCTAAATTGTAAAATGTAATATTTTTACATGTTTGTTTATGCATAATATTGTAATATCCTACAAATAACCTAACACAGTATAAACCTAACATTTTTATGAACAGACAAAAATATCGTACATCTATAAATATATTTTTTGTCAAATAAAATAAATATAGAACTAACATCACATCTAGACTAAAACTATTGGAACGGAGAATTTCCATTAACTCAAACGGTTAAAAATTATTAGTTTTTCACATTGCTACTTAAAATCATAGAATACCCAAAACGACTATTGTTCAAAAACAACAAAAGTTTTGTGTATATCCCGTAAAATAGTGAATTTAACCGAGAAAATGAAAAATCTGAGTTTAAGACTTTGTATATCTATGCGGTGTATAGATAGAAAACATAAAGGCTTTGTTTAAGGCTCTTATGAGTCCATTCATATTCTATATATATGAATGTGAATGAGAATAAGAAAATAGATGCGGAAAATGATGAGGAATCAAAAAAAAAATTCATATGTAGATTAGGGAAATATTATTGATGGGATCTTAACAAGTATCTTAATCTAAAATTTGTTAAGATCTTATCTTATATGTTTCTATTTACAAAATACATGACCTTATCCCATCAGAGGGATTGATATATTGTTGCTGTTGTAAATGTTCAAAAAGAATACCATAAAAGTATTGGAAAATAAAAGGTGCAAATGGTCTTACATTTAAAATAATTAAAATAAATTGAATGAACCATTCATTCAATCATTTTCACTATTTAGAATGCTGGAAAATGATTTATCTCAATGAATTAAAAATTAAAATGAAATAAATAAGTTATTAAAAAAGTGTTTAACTCATTCATCAACGATTATACTAAAGTTTGAATTGAATATCATTCGACTTAGCTTTTCCTACCATTCATTTAGAGACAACAATTTTTACCCAACATTATTAATTCATATATAATGAAGTCATGGCCATCTTTACCAAAAATAATAATAATGAAGTCATGGCCATAAATTTCTTCGTATGTGAATGTGATATATGAAATAATAAGTAACATTAACATTATGTTTTTATGATTAGTAACATTAACAATATGTTTTTATGATTAGGAGGTTCTAACATCTTTATGAACAAACAAAAGAATCGTTCATTCATTAATATATTTTTTCCGAACAAAATAAATATAGAACTAACCTCACATCTAGTTTAATAACAATTTTTTTTTTGGACTGAGTATAATAACAATCATGTAGTTAAATTTTCCTTTTTACCATAAAAGATCATCAGTTCAATAATATTGTCCAAGCGTAGATATAATACCATGTATTCATGTTCTTAACTATATATAGACTTGTTGTCCCCAAAAAACTATATATAGATATTGAGCTTCTATTTGCGCAAACCACAAATAAATAGAAAACATACAAACTCGTGAATTAGACAAAATATTAATAATTAGGTGATTGGTAAGCATTTATCAATAGGAAATCTTAAAAAATCGTCCAGTGAATCTTGAAAATCTAATTGCAAAACTAATACATGTCTAATTTTGTCAAGACATGTTTTTATCTCTTTATAAACTCTTAAAGATATGTTAATGTAAGAATGTATGGATATAAAAGGAGAAGAGTGGTGGATGTGCATTGTTGTTTTTGGTGGATAGGTCCACTCCTCTCTTAAATCTCATCATATTCTAAAAATGGCTGCCATGTGAAGACCACCACTCAATAATCTCTCTCTATTCCCTTTACATAATCCTATGTCAATTTTTCATAATTACTCCCAATTAACCATAATTGCAGTTTGTAAAAATCATTACCTAGCCGTAAGTTGCTGGTTTCACTCTATTGATTGGGAATCTCAATTCAGCAGTCGATTTTTAAAACACTCATTTTGATAGGCCGAGACTCGTAGAAGACTTTTAGTCAAATAGAGAACATACTAACTTTTGAAATAAAAAGAATTAGAAAAATGTATTTTAAAAATAAACACATTAATAAAGCTCTTCTAGCCAAGCTAATCTATCAAATTTACACAGTAGTTTTTTTATTATATAATTAATGTTAAACTCTTACAGTAAATTACAAAACGAGAAACACCAATATATAGAATACAATGGTGATAACACGTTTTAAAAAGGGAATTTTGTTTGCTATGCCATTTTTAAAACTCAAATTTGTAAAAATGTCATTAACAAAAACCTCTTTCAAAATGTGCCACAAAGAAGGAAGGTCGGACGATTTTGCCCTCGCAGAAAAAGACAAAACAAAACGATAGACAAAATTAAAATAGAAAAAGAGATCTCGTCCACAAGATCTTGTCCACTACATCTGATCCGCCATAACTAGTCGACCAAAATTGGTTCGCCGAATCTTGTCCATCTACAGAAAAATGTATTGTCCATAGTGTAATAACCGCATCACTTGTTTCATCGTCTGGCTGGTCCGCCGAATCAGGTCACCAGAACTAGTCCGCCGAATCAGGTCAGTCGGATCTGGACAGTTGGAGTTCGTCCGTCGAAGTTCGTCAGCCGTATTTGGTCCGCCGGAGTTCGTCCGTCAGATCTACTATGGTCCGCCGGATCTGGTCTGTTGGATTTGGTCCATCGAATCTAAACTGTCATAGTTCGTCCGCCGGAGTTTGTCCGTCAGATCTGGTTCACTGGAACTGTTTGATGTTGGAAGAAGAAAAAGAAGATGAAGAAGAGAGAGATAAAAGAAAAAAAAAAACAGTCACAACATAGAGCATCCAATTAGGACTGGGGTACAGTGGTCTTTTGACAAAGACCTTGTGGCAGGCGAGAGAAGATGTTTCTTATAATGGCACTGCATAAAACTTTTGTTACTGTAGAGGGCATAGCCCATAATTTTCTCTTTTAAAAAGGCAATGAAATAACAAAAATAAATAAATTACTATGAAATAGTCCATCTAAAAAAACAAAAAACTTAAGATACAAATGAGTTTTGATATTTTCAATAATCTTATGAAATAGTAAAACTTAGAGAGTAATTGCAAGTTCGTATGTACCAAAAAGAACATATTTCATATCGTGTTAGTAGTAGCCAAACTCAGTTCCAATTCCAAACCAAAGTGCTAGTTCAAGTGAAAGCAAAGGCTAAGCCCAAGAAGGCCCAATGCATGCCTCATCTAGGGGGTAATACAACATTAAAGAAGGCTTATTTGGTACATAAAATGACTTGAACTTTGCATAGACAACAACAACAAACCCAACGTACTCATATTGGAACATAAGATGTGTCCCTTTTGGTCCGTCTCTCTAGGTGGTCCTCTCTACTCTTTTTGTCCATCATTCTTATTAAGTTCCACTGCCTTTGATACATGTTGTTCTTCTTCGTCTTTTCTCTAATAGTACAAGAGAGACAAGAAAACATGGCTATTGGGATTCACTGCTTTTCGTTTTCGTTTGTATCCATAGATATCTCAGAAAGCAAAAAAATAACTACTTTTTCGATCAAATATTATTTACGAACGTGAAAGTAAATGAAAATAGTATATTTTGTGTTTACATTTAAGATTTATAAAAAGTCTTGTAAAACATATTATATTAAGTTTTTTTTTTTTTTCAATGTAATGTTGAATAATTCAAAAGAAAAGAGTAACGTGTTTACAACAAGTGCATCGAAAAAAAAAAAAAATACTGAGATTTTGCTGAAAATTTCAGAAAAGAAATAGTGACTTAAGAGATTTCATGAAGTTGTTCTTGTTTGCAGCCAATATGTTTGGAATCCGGCGTCATATCTGTGATCTGCCATCCTTTATCGTTGTGCATTGATTTCGAACTTTTTGATATATATATATATATATATATTAAGTTCTTATGGAAAAGGTATCCATAATTTTTCAAGAATATAACTAAATATAAGAAAATGAGAGGATCCACGAGATTAAGCAAATCTTTTGAACTTCTTAGAGTACTTAACAAAATATTAGAAAATGACAGGATCCCCGAGACGAGTGTGGACGTGAGGGCTAACATATCATGGCGGTGGAAGCGCTGTATATATCGATAACATAAAAACAAATTCAAGTATGTATATATACAATTTGGTTTGATTTCACTTTGTTGTGGTTTCAAAGTTGTAGACTATCGACTATCAAAGTGTGAACCTTCGGTAAAAGCAACACAAGACATTATGTGATTACAATCATGTCAACTATAACTAATTTAGGACAATGAGAAATTTTTGTTGCGATGTAATTGCTAAAGTGCCAATAATTGTATTACAATCCATTGCAATCGATTTTGAAGATGAAATGTGAGCATTGATTTTTTTGCCATGTCTAGCTACCAAATAATTGGGAGCCAATGGAGACATTAATTAGTAATTTTTTTGGTAGTCAAATTGTTTAATTCGATGATGATTGATCTATGCATTGTCGTCAAACTTTGCTTTTTAAGTGAAAAATTAAGACATAAACCAAAAATAAAATAAAAGATTGTAAGTGATTCTTGACTCGTGTACATTCTTCTGATCGTTCTGTCACTATCGATATTAGAAAACTAAGGTCTAAATTCAAAATTTCACTAACATAAGTTGTACAAATGGAAAAGTGGATGTATGAACTCCACAGTTGATTTGTAGGATCGGTAAACAGGTCTTTAAAATCTCCCAGACGTAGCCGACCCGCCATCGGATATGGATAGGCCTACGGACAAAAAATGGACCTAGGGTCCATTAAAAAATTGGGCTTATGGCCAAGAGTGGACGGTAAGGGCGTTACAACTCTAATTACCAAATAATGGCCAAAAATAAATAATTGTAAATTGGAACATAAAATATAAATTTGAAAACGGTAAATGAATGCAATTATAGTCTCTCATGTGATTACCTAAAGAGTAACTGAAGTGAAATTTTATGTAACCGCGAGAAAAAAAGTTGTTTACTACATGATATGATATTTATTGCGAAGACGACAAAAACTTAAAAAAAAAAGATAAACTATTGACGGACGTTATCGCATATTGTCCGCGTGGCTAGATATCGATAGAAGGCATCCAAAAAAGCAAGTACACTCATCAAATAAAGGCATCATATGCGTGAGAAGTGTGAAAAATCTCGCTACGATGCAAAATAAATAGAAGAATTCTGTCAAAATGAAATTATATTTGACAGAGAGCAAATAGACAGAAATCACAATATCATTTCCTTCTTTTGTTGAGTTCAACTTGAAATCAGCGGAGATATGAGATCTTTCCAGCTTCGCATCCCTTCGAGTGATATCTTATGCATATGGGAAGGGACAAAGAAAATGTATTATGGAAGTCTCTGCAAAATACGGCCAAGATCTACATACCGTCGTACATTATGGATCAGAGTTCAAAATCCTATCATTTGTTGTACATCGCATGCAAAAGATAAGTTTTTAGTACTCTCAGTAACCTAGGCATTGAAGAATTTAGTTTTCACAATAATAAAGATCTCAAAATTATATTTAAAAGTTCTAAATAAGGGATCTCAATTTCTTGAGATTCATATCGAAATTTGCATGTGTGGTAATATTTTGTATACTTTATTTTTTTATCTTAATTATGAATGCCATTATACCGCATAACTGAAAATTGATGATCTTTGGGTGATGAAACAATCTATAATCTTATATTACATTTTCAATACTTGTTTTGTTCTTAAGGTTGAGCCAACTAAATCTGAAATAACCTTGTATTTTTTTAAATGATATAAAGAACCATCATGTTTTGTAATGTAAAGATGAACTATTTTAGGTTGTATGGAAGAAGAAGAGGATACACAGGAGCGAAAAAATTAGAAACGCGGAGCAATTTCTTCACCAAACAAAACGGTGTGTGTTCGAAACTCTTATATATTTAACTTAATAAATCAAATAATATTCCATATGATATAATTCTATTATATAACTCATATAAACTTAATAATATAATATAATATTATAGTTGTAACTTAATTTTTGAAGAACATTATAAATAATACAAAATATCATTAAATATTAAAGAAGAACAAGAATTTAAAAGCAAAAAAAAATATTCATTAAATATAATGAATTAAACTAAAAAAATGATTAGAGTAAAAATTCTATTGAATACTAAATTCACTGTCTCTAGAAGAAGAAAAATAGAACAAAATAATTACAAAATAATGTTCTTCATTATGTTCGTGATTTTGGTGAGAAATGCACTAGCTATTTATTATTTTTACTAAAATACATGTAAATTTTGGTGTCCAAGAACTGTTTTTGTTAAATTACATAAAATTTTAAGTTTTTCTCATTAACAACATTTAGTTATATATATATATGTATTCATTCATATTTAACTAACTATATAATTCATTTGATGTCGTCTAGAGATCTTTTTCAAATTACTTAGCAAAGTTTTTTTTTTATTATTACAATGTCTAATTTAAGATAGTCAAATACATACCTTTATATTTGACTAATTTTATGATTCACTCTATTCTATCTATTTTTATATTATTTTGTAAAACCGTCACTTTTATAAGATCCATGTATATGAGTTCTAATCTTATAAATTATTACATTTTATGGTCTTAATCTGCAATTCAAAAAATTATTGTAATCTCATCATAATACTTTATGATTGTTAATGAGTATTAAAAAAAAAAAATTCAAAGGCATATAATGTAATAGTCAAATATATTTATGTGCCTCTATTTCATATACTTATGAATTAACTAGTTATATGCTCATTTTTGGCTGTTTCATAATTAATTAATAAAAATTTATACAAACTAATATATTGGCCAATTATGCAAATATTTGATCTTATAATTAAATTAAAGTGAGTAAGAATAAAGAGAGAAGGATTTTGTCACAAAAATTTTAGAGCATCGTTGCCACTTGTCCTTGCATCTTCTTCTCAGTGAGTCATTTGCAGCATAAATACGTCTTTTAAATCACGTACCATACATCTAGAAACATACGCTTAGATTAACTAGATTAAACACATTTCATATGTGTTTTTGTTCCAAAAAGAAAGAAAGATTATTTCGTTAAGTTTGAAGAGAATACTTTGGCACTTGTCCATAAATGGAAACATATTCAAATATTGACAAATGGCATGTAATCTGTTAAACGTAAGGAAGAATTTTTTTTTTTTTTTTAACCCAGTTTAAAGTTATTTTTAAATATCTTTAATCACTGTTTATTTTTGAAATTCTCCCATCTTTTTATTATCAATAAATTATTTTAATATATTCTTTTGGTCTTCCAAAAAAATAATAAGTCTATAACTAATTAATTTGGCAATCTATATTTTAATTATTTTACTTAGATATACAATTTCTGTGTTGCACTATTAGTAGAATAATTCATTAACGAAATAGTATATCAGTTATAAAGTTTTTTAAAAACATTCAAGCATAATTTTTAATATAAATTATTATAATTTCAACTCGTGATTAAGAAGACGAGTGGCCTAGGCTAGTGGCCTCCATTGCACATAATGGAGGGGTGCTTAGCTTAAGGTCTTCCCATGAGGAAGAGTCTGCGTCATTACTTGTGGCAGAGGGAGTTTGCCTTTGCGCAACCCCTAAGAGAAAAAAAAATTACTATAGTTTCAATTAGTAACGCTCCAATTATTGATAAATTAAATAAGATATAATTATATATAATTAATAGTTATAGGCGTTACTAATTGAAAGTTAAGTATTTTAAAATGTACAAAACTGATATTTTATATTGTGATTTATTTTTTTTATTAGGAAAAGTCTATTAAAGAAGAGTAAAGTGATCAATATTAAATTAAAATTTTTCAATTTGCTAATTTTACATCTTTTGTGTTTTCTTATTAAACAAAATGCATGGACAAGTGGAAACGATTCTCTAAATTTAATGAGTGAATCTTTCTCTCCCTTTTTAATGCACTTTAAAATTATAATTAAAGGATTTTTCCCCATTAGTTGTCAATATTGCTTCACTAGTTTTCATTCAAAATTTATGAACTATACCACTATAGTTGTAACGTAAAATTCATCATCATACATAGACAATGTACACTAAAATGATTACATAATCTTGTTGTTCTAGAAAACTAGAGTTTCCAAGTCATGATATTAAAAGGATAGAAGAATCTCTTATCAAATTTGGAGAGCACCGTTGCCACTTGTGACTTGTCCAATGTCCATGCAAAAAAGAAGAGATCAAAGACGTTATTAACGTCACGCATCCTTCCTCACCCGATACTATCCCCAAAAACACTCATGCACATTACACAAATCGAAAACTATTTTAGTATAAACCTTAGTCTGATAATATATACTTAATTAGACTGATAAAAGTTATATAAATTGATGATTAGTTTATTATCAATGTACATTGTTTAAACTGGAAGTATAAATTTACAAAACTGCAATTTGTGTCTAGTTATGTGATTTTAACAAAACAATATATATGTTCAGTCTGAATAATATGTTTTTTTTTTTTTGTCTTTTAGAACTTTAATTAAATATGTTGTGATCCTCTTCCTTTCCCTTCCACCTTGCATTTTTTCCTGGTAAGGGCGTACGTTACTAATTGAAGGCAACAAGTAACAATTTTCGTATGGAGTTTGATGTGCTATCTAGTGATGAAGCTATGAGACAAATTAGCTATTACAACCCAAGTCAAGTAATCTCAAAGGTACAATGAATCCTCCTCTTGCAAATCATCTTTGTCTCACTTTTCTAGAAGAAAAAAAGCCTTTAAATGTTCTTTTTCCCCTTAAAAAAAGTGGTAGAATCTATACGTATGTACAAATCACATGTTGACCAGTAGTAGTATAGCAAGTAAATGAGAGTAATTAAATTGACTTTAAAAAAAAAAAAAAAAAACTAGAGTTTAATGTGGTAGTGAGAGAGAGGAAGAAGCCATTGAATTCTGGAAAAAAGGGAGAAGCAGAGCTTTTGCAACACTTGTTCACCATGCACCTTCCACTCGTCTCTTTGCTCTTGGTTCCAAATCTTTAACCTAACCTATCGTGTTTAAACTATGGTTGAGTAATCTTTTTTTTTTAATGTAGTGACATTTAGATCTCGTTAGGTTACTATCATTATTCATCTATAATCTCTTTTCAAGAGTTTGCTTGATGAAAAAATCTACTATACCAAAACCCTAGATTCATGAATGTAGGTTATACAAATGTCACTCCCTTACCATAAATAGTAAAAAAAAAAGTTATGGGTAAACCCAAATCTCTGATTGCCCAGCGTCCATTTTAAGCCCTGTTTCGATCTGCACAACACACAACACAACACAAACACAAAACTCATCAGTCTCTCTCTCTCTCTCTCTCTCTCTCTCTTCTCTTCTCTCTAATATCCTCTCTCTATCTCTATCACTGAAACCCAAAGTGATCCACCATTTGTTCTTTTTTCCTTCACACAGAGAACTGTTTCCTTCCACACTTCCTTTTTACTAGGCAGTGTTAACCAATATGATGGCTGATGAAAATGTGGAAACCAAGGCCTCTACTTTAATAGCAAGTGTTGGTCATCAAGGTCATGGGTTTGGATCCGGGTCTGGTGGTCATCATGGTTTATCGGCGTCTGTGCCTCTTCTTGGTGTTAACTCGAAGAAGAGAAGGATGCCAAGACAGAGACGATCTTCTTCTTCCTTTAACCTTCTCTCTTTGCCTCCTCCTATGCCTCTTTCTCCCCACGTGCCAACTCCTCTCTCCGCACGTGTAAGCTCCTCACTCTTAAAATAAAAAAACTACTATTATTACTAAACCAAAATTCAAAACAAAAACGTTTTAAGTTTTGTTTTTTTGTAAGATCTGTGTGTGTTTTGTAATATTTTCAATTTCGTTTTTGGTTTTATTTCAATTTTGTTATTATTAAAAAGATTCAATGTATATTAATTGTGATGTCAGAAAATTGACCCAAGAAAGCTGAGATTCCTCTTCCAAAAAGAACTCAAGAACAGTGACGTCAGCTCCCTCCGCCGTATGATACTCCCCAAGGTGATCTTTGATTATATAAAGTTGATGATGATGATGGTAGTATATAATGATGACTAATGATGATGATCGATGATGTAGAAAGCTGCTGAGGCTCACTTGCCGGCGCTTGAATGTAAGGAAGGGATTCCTATAAGAATGGAAGATTTGGACGGTCTTCACGTTTGGACCTTCAAGTACAGGTACTTCAATTTACATTTGATGTAATTAATGTTATGTGACAAAGCATAGGTTATATATAGTCTTGAGTTACAAATTTGGCTAGCAAGAATTTCGAACTGGTTATAGTATGAATCTATAATGGAGCTAGCATAAGTGAATACTATCAAAATGATTGATTCTTGGTAGATGGATCATTTTAAATGTATTCACTGATCGATTATAACAAAAATAAATTTGTAATCTATAATTCTTTAATTTACTAATAGTTACAAGATCTTTAAAAGAAATTAGATGTTTTGAGTCTCGGCCTAATGTTTTGATCATTAGGTACTGGCCAAACAACAATAGCAGAATGTACGTGCTAGAAAACACAGGTAAATTCATCTATAAACCTGAAATTGTTTTATAAAAATTATATTCTGAAATCGAATCGATGATCGTTAAACATATTGGATCGAGCTCGGTTTTATTTTCAGGCGACTTTGTGAACGCTCATGGTTTGCAGCTAGGTGACTTCATCATGGTTTACCTAGATCTCGACTCAAACAATTACGTACGTTACACGCTACTAAACAAAAAAAAAATCTTTACTACAAAACGTGTTACATGTTACATATGTAATGTAATGCCCCGATTTTATTCCTTTATTTTAACTTAGGTTATACAAGCAAGAAAGGCATCAGAAGAAGAAGAGGAAGAAGAAGACGTAACCATCATTGAAGAAGACGATGTTTACACAAACTTAACAAAGATTGAGAACACTGTTGTTAACGATCTTCTCATCCAAGATTTCAATCATCACAACGACAACAGCAGCAACAACAACAGCAACAACAACATCAACAACAACAAGTGTTCTTACTATTATCCCGTCATCGATGATATCACTACAAACACAGCCTCTTTTGTCTACGACACGACTACTTTAACGTCCAACGATAGTCCTCTTGATTTCTTAGGTGGACATACGACGACGACTACTAATACTTATTACTCCAAGTTCGGATCATTCGAGGGTTTGGGCTCCGTTGAGAATATATCTCTCGATGACTTCTACTAGAAGGGATCAATCGATGGAGCTCATGATGATTATTGGTGGTGAAGATCGATCAAATATTTTTATTTGCTTATATGTATAAGAATTAAGATGCATTTTCGCATATCTTCAAATAGTGTTTAAATATTACATTATAGTTTATATGAAGATCATATAGCTAGAAGGAGAGGCATTAAGGTTGTATGTTATGTTTGGTGAATAAATGTTATTATTATGTATCGGGTCAGGGTTTTAATAAATTAATCCTCGACAAAAAAAAAAAAATTTGAAAATATAAATATAGTTTTCTTTTTTTATGGGAGATTGTTTTTGTTTGTTTCGCAGTATTATTATTACATTGCAAATTTGAATATTAAGTATTACATAAAAATTATTGCAAAATCGTTATAGTATTTTCTGACAATGAAGAGATATAAAATTCGATAAAACACTAGAGGAATCTCACCTAATTTGAAATCCAATGAAACTATAATTATCCAATCAAAATCACCAGTAATCTCCACAAGAACAAAAGCCATCTTTGAAATGGTGAAACCGTTTAGCATCTCTAACGACAAACTCTCTATCAACAATCTTTGAAATCAACTTGATCACATTATGACAATCGCTGCAAACTCTAAGATTCTTAACCACATTAACCGTCGAGCCGGGGACCGTGTTCATGATCCCGAACGCAACAGCTAGTTTCTCGCTGTGAACTCTCAGTGTCATCTCTTTCTCTTCCTCATCAACATCATGGCATACAGATGCCGTGTTCGATACGTAACCTGCGTCTAACAGCTTCCTGTTCAGTTCCGCTAAAAACTCGTAAATCTTTTCGCGGTCGGGATGCTCTTCGTCTCCGATCAAGAACACATGAACCTCACCATTCAACTCAAGTAGACTAAAACCCGGAGGTTTCACCAATCCACGATTCTTCATTATCATCCTCACCCTCTCAACATCTTTCCAACGCCCTGCATCGGCATAGATATGCGAAAGCAGCATGTAATAACCGCAATTCGAAGAATCCAATTCAAACAAACGCGTCACGGATATCTCTGCGAGCTCAACATTCTTGTGAATTCTACAACCTGCAAGAAGTGAGCTCCAGATGATAGAGTCCGGTTTCATCTTCATTGTCTGAATCAAATCATAAGCTTTCTGAAGAAACCCAGCTCTACCTAGAAGATCAACCATACAACCATAGTGTTCTAAACCCGGTTCCACGCCAAATCTTCCCTTCATTGCATTAAACCAGCGCCAGCCTTCAATATGAAGACCCGCATGACTGCAAGCAGCTAACACTGATACAAAAGTAATGTAATTTGGTCTTACCCCTGAATCGATCATAGCAGGGAATAACTCTAACGCTTTGGCCGCGTGGCCATGCATTCCATATCCAGCAATCATGGCGGTCCACGACCTAACATTCTTGTTTTTCATTCGATCAAATGCTTTTCTCGCTGTCTCAACTCTTCCGCATTTACAATACATATCAATTATCGATGTTCCAATTATCACATCATCCTCAAGACCCATCCTTATCACCTGCATAGCCACATTATCTTTCCAAATTAGACACATTCATCAATACATACCATCCAAGATATTTTTCAAATATGACACAGGAAACAATCAAAACTGAATTGCAAAACAGAATCTTAACTCACCTGATCATGTATACATTTGCCAATACGCAAAGCACCTGAATGCGAAGCCGCCAACAACACAGTAGTCAGTGTAATGGAGTTAAAGGTCACAACTTTATCCTCTACCAGTCTACGAAATACTTCAAAAGCCTCATTAGACATCCCATTCTGAGCATACACACTCATGATCGAATTATACGAAACACGATCCTTATCCACAATCTGATCAAAGATTTTTCTTGCCACCGCTACACCTCCTTCTCCGCCCTTAGCATAAGCATCCAATAAAGTATTACCAACACTCACTCCTCTATCAAACCCTCTCTTTATCAAAAAGCTATGAATTGATTCAGTTAAACCCTTAGCAGCAACACGAGAACAAGCCGAAATGACCGAAACCATACCCATGAAATCAAGAAACATTGCATCATCATCCTCATGATCTCCATCATTTTCTTCCACCAATAGATCCTTGAATAGAGAAACAGCATCAAGGGCGTTACCGTTAAGATCATAGCCTCGAATCATCGACGTCCAAGAGACAATATTTCTCTTGGGAATTTCGTCGAACACCTTCCGAGCATCTTGGAGTTGACCACAAGTTGAATACATAACGATCAAAGCCGAAGACACGAAGATGTCTGATTGATACCCGAAGACAAAAGCTTGCTGATGAGTCTGCTTGCCGGAGAAGATATCAAGAAGAGACGAACACGCTTTGATAGTGCAAGGGAAGCTAGAGCGATTAGGGTAGAGAGAAAGCTTTCGCATTGAGGAAAAAGCACGAAGAGCTTCAGCAGAATCACCACTACGAGCAAGGTCGGCAATGACAGAGTTCCATGAGAAGACATCTGTTTTGTCGACATATCTGTTGAACAGAGTCGTTAGGTTTTGTCTCTCTGTGTATCTCTCCGTGTGGAGAAGACGAGAGACGGAAGAGAACAGAGCTTTTTTACTCGGAAGCATCATTCATTCTTTTGACTCAAATTAATATTTTTTTGGCTAATTTCTATTTCATTCTTAAATATCAGACAGAACACAAATGCTTTGTTCTTAGTCTTGTAAAAAAAAAATATATATGGCATAAAGTAATTTCATAAAGCTTCCAAAATATAAAGAATCAACCAAAACCCAAACAAAGATCAAAATCAATGAGTCCTATTTGTTATATTTTCTTTTGCTTCTTTCACAAACAAGACATTACAAAGAGACCGTGGCATTTTGTCATCTGCAAAAACGTTTGTTCTTGATCTTCTGCAGATTCATAGTGTATACTACATATATGAATCCTTGTTTTCCCAAATAATTTAAAGCTACAACAATCTAAGATGAGCAGTATCATTCATTCGTTTAATCTGCCACCCATTTCTCCATGAATGTTGTAGCACTGTCACTGAAGAGTCTTCTACACAGATCTTATGGGTCATTACCGGACTGCAACCGAGGATTCCGGTTAGAAGACACTTTATGGGCAAAGAATGCGTGAAAACCCCGATGCAATTTGAGATTAGAGAAGAGGAATCACTTAGGTCACTATGATTGTGATTAACTTCTTCCCTTGGGGATTCATCGTCAGGTTCGTGATTGGTCATTACTTGAAGTCTGCTTTTACCAGATTTCTTCCTTGTAAGACTTGGACGATGCTTGTGGAGCAAGTCCCAGTTGGTCGAGGGAAGTGAAGAAGAACCATCACGCTCATGGGTTTCATTGAGATTTGTAGTGGAAGAAAAATCTGACCTGAGCTTCTCTGCAACTCCTGAGACTGTCCCGTTTAGAAACTGAACCATTCGAAACTCTACTTGCCTGAGTGATTCTCCAGATGGGGCCGTGAAATCAGGCTGACATCTTTCAATCAAGCTCACGGTTTCAGGACTATAAATCTCTGATTGATTACAACCTTCCCAATCCCCTAGACTCATTTCGATTATAGCATCTGAGGATTGTACATGCTCCTCCGGAAAACTCATTTCCTGCAAAAACAAAATGCGTCCAATTCAGTAACCACTTTCAAACTTGTCAGTTGTCACTATAGGATCCAATATGGTATTAAGCTAAACGCTTATCAGCTAGAGAGATAATATGCTCTTTAGAGTGCGACTAAGCTATAATAATAGAAGATTATACAAACAAACAATCATGCCCCCTCAACATCTGAACAAGATAAGCTCACCATTAACCAACACAATAATATGAAACAAACCATCACTAATAGGCTTAATGCCGGACATTCATAATATCAATTGCTATAGTGGTTTCAATGGATTTGGCATTCCTATTAGTGAAGTTTCTTCAGCATTAGCTAATCAATTCTATCAAATCCGTTTTCAAGAGATTTTCTCAGATTAAAGCTCGAATCTCACACAAAATAGGCAATATTGTATAGCTATGACCGAGAGTATTGTAATATGCTCTATAGAGTGTGACTAAGCTATAGTTATAGAAGACTAAACAAACAAAGAATAGTGCCCCCATCACTCAACCATGAACAAGGTAAGCTCACCAAGTCACCATTAACCAGCACAACAAATTGAAACAACCATCACTAAGACGAGAGTATTGGTAAATGCTAAACAAAGACATTAGCTTTTGTGATATAAAGAACATCCATGATATCACTTCTATAGTTTCAATGGATTCAGGATTCTATTAGTGAAGTTTCTTCATCATTAGCTAACCAATTCTATCAAAGCTCGAAACTCACACAAAACAGGCAACATTGTACAGCTACTTTTACACAAAGCTTTAAGATCTTTGTTTAAAACTTCGATCCAAGAGGAAGAGACTAAGAATCTTTACCTGACAAACCGAAACAGCCATGGATCTAGCTCGATCCAAAGGCGAAGAGTAAACAGAACCAAATCGAACACCCTGAGATTTGAAGAAAACAGCAAGAGCCCTAGCTTGGCGTTTACCATTAGCAGTAAGCGCAGCTACATGACACCTCCCACCAACCAAATCAGGTCTTAAATTGAGATCACACTCACCATGGCTAATGAGATAAACCTCCGTCACAGCACGATCTTCATCACCAGACGCGATTCGCGAGAAGATAGGCGGCGGATGATGCGGCGGGGAGAGGACGTTGTAAGGATCCCAAACCTTAATCGAAGGTCCAAGCCGTGGAGTTCCGAGAGACGATAGCTGTGGCGAAAGCGGTGAAGCTGAAGCGTGACATGGTAACATCTCAGGCTCTTGTTCGAGAACTTTTTTAACTAAGAGATTGTCTAATTCTCTTGTGTTTGATCTGCCATTATCGTCTTCTCCATCTTCTTCTTCTTCTTCATTGTCAGTTTCCTCTTCTTCGTCTTCCTCTTCCACTAGCGTAGATTGTGAAGAACCCATCTACTTTGAGAAAAAAGTGCTCGGAGAGATGCAAAGAAAGAAGCAAAGAGAGCTTTTTTGCGTGTGTGTTTAGCTTGAATTGAAGCGATCACATCACATGGCCTGATGGCTCCACCATTTTCAGATCTAGGCAACGAAAGCAAAACATTGCACGTTTAAATATTGGGCCAGGCCCGGCCCATTATAGGATAGGATAGGATAGACACTCTGGCCTTGAAGACTCTGGCCCAAGGGTCCAAAGTCCAAACCCAGATATGCTCGAACTCAAAGTAGCTAAATATTTTTTTTTGTCATCAAATATATTTTAAATTATCTTCATAGAAATAATAATATTTCAAATTCATTTGTTGCTTCTCTAATTCTTTTCTTTAATTCTTTTTTTTTTGGTTAAATTCTTTAATTCATTTTCTATCGAATTTTATGCAAAAATTATTATTTTTTTACTTGTACAAAAAAAAAACATTTCCATTAAAAAAACAAATTAGTAAACTCGTGTATTTTGTTATGTTGTTTGTCAGCAAACGAGATGTTTAGAGTATGAGAAACCAAGATCATGTTATGAATCCAAACAGGATTAGTGAGTTGCCTAAGGCTTTGATTCTGCTTATATTGTCTCTACTTCCCACTAAAGTTGCTGTAACGACGAGTGTTTTGTCCAAACAATGGGAATCTCTTTGGAAGATGTTGCCTAAACTCGAGTTTACATGTGGCGTATCTTATTACAATCACAGGATTCACAGTTGTGAACCTTTTTCAAAGTATGTTTGCTTTCACATACGGCTCCGGTTCTAGAGAGTTTGCATCTCAATATTCATTTAGATGGATGTAATGCAATGGACACTGAAATATTGATTGGGATTGCATTTGCTCGCAATGTGCGTAAGCTGGTACTTGACGTTAAACCTTGGGGGGGACAATTCATATTTCCTAAAAGCTTGTATAATCCCTCTGGAAGATGTTGCCTAATCTCAAGTTTACTTCTGGTTTTTACTACCGAAGCATAAAACTGATCGAAACTATGGCATTTTCAAAGAATGTTTACAAGGCATTGCTTTCACATAAGGCTCCGCTTCTACAGAGTTTGCGTCTCAACATTTATTCACATATGTGTACTACTAAAGAAGTTAGAATACTGACTGATATGGCATCTGCCCGCAATTTGCGTAAGCACTTAAGATTTATGATATGTGTACTCAATGTTGAAATTGGGGAACCCTTAAGATTTCTTGCATGTTTGAATAACTGTGAAACACTAGAGACCTTGGAACTCAAGCATTCTGTATGTAAGGATGCCCCTTCTTCATTTTGTCTCAAATCCCTTAGAACTTTGCGTCTTGACTCTGTCGAGTTCAAAGACAATGAATCAGTTCTTAACCTTTTATCCAGCTGTCCTAATCTTGAAGACTTGGTGGTGCGTCGACATTATTCCTCCAGCAGAGTGAAGACTTTCACTATTGCGGTGCCGTCCTTACAGAGACTATCAATTCATAATTACGCTGATATATCTTGTGGGGACTATGTGATAAATGCACCTTCTTTGAAATACTTGAAGATGAAAGGGTTTAAGGCTCATGAGATTGGCTCTTTTCTGATTGAGAACTCACCAGAGTTGGTGGAAGCTAACATTATCATCTATCATGCGAACATTTTGGGATCACTCGGTTCACTCAGACGACTTTCCTTGGAGACATCAGCCTTTGAGGTAATTAAGTTTTTTTTTTTTTTTTTTTTTTATATATATCTCTTGTAATTAATTGTTATCACATTGTTTATCTACTAACATAGCTTTCATGTACTATAGAGTACATTTCCTACTGGTAGTATGTTTAATGAGTTGGTATATTTGGAGTTGAGTACATTTACAGTTGATTGGTGGAATCTACTAACACGCATGCTCGATACTTCTCCTAATTTACGAGTCCTCAAGCTCATCTGTGTAAGCCATATTTCTAAATCCATATTATAGCAATTTTCCAACTCAGTTTAGGGTTTAATTTTGATCATTCCTCATCGTTTGTCTCAGACACAACAATGGCATCAGTATTTATGTGGTTTGGAGCTCCAAGAGGAGTAGGGTCAAGTTGAAGTAGAAACAAGAACGACTTCTGTTTTGCACTTCCGTGAGAATAGGTCTCCATTGTTTTATGAATCCCTGAGAATCAGTAACATGGAAACTCATCACGTTGCCCACCTCTCCTAGATTTGCGTTGGGTGTGGTTGATTGATTTCAAAATCAAACTTATCCTAAACCTCTATATAAACACACAAGTTCAAGTCTTTGTAAGAAGAATCGACAAGTAACGCTTGGTCGAGTAGAGACTTAGAACACACAAATTCCAGCAATCTCTCTCTATCACAAAGTAAGTGTCTTCGAGAGTATCGTAGTGTTTTAGTTCGATAGGGCTGTTATTCGAGTGTAGCGAAAACAGTTATAGAGAA